CTGGTCCTATTTTTCCCCCTTTGAAAACACGTATGTTTCATTGCTCAGAGCCTGCAGAAAATAGATGAAGGGAGATGTGCCAAAGGTGTGCTTGGGTGTTTTCTTTGATTCTGGTCTTAGATGAATCTCTGTACAGAGAAGTTACACATAGAGCCTTAGATTCCCTAGAACTGCTCACACTCAAGCACTGGCATCCTACCGACCTGGTTAGGGTTGCTGACATCAGGACAGCTGTCACAGGCATCCCCGACACCATCGTTATCTTTGTCACTTTGGTCTCGGTTGGGAATTTTTTGACAGTTGTCCAAAATATTCTTAATTCCTAGGGAAAAGAAAGTCTCTTTGTATCAGCTGAAATTACCTCAGGGTTTCATAGGATCATGGCCAGTGCAGGAAGAAACCTTAGGGGTGACCTACTCCAACCTCCTTATTTTACAGCTGGAGAAACTGAGGCCAGAAGAAATGAAGTGACTTGCCAAAAGTCACCAATAGAAAGGGGCAAAGTTAGGATTCAAATCCAGGTTCTCTGCCCACTGTTCCATAGCGCTTTTTGGTATTTTCTAAACTGCTACAGGAGTGTGTATAACATGATGACATTTAGATATCACACTGAAAATTGCATATATGACCCAAGTTATATCCCGGTGTCAGAGAAACAAGTGTAGTCAGAGACAGCAGGGAGAAGTAGAAGGAGGACCTGAGTTCAAATCCAGCCTCAAACACATAATACTTAGTAGCTGTGTGACTCTGGGCAAGTCACTTAACCCCATTGCCTAGCGGGGAAAAAAATGTATATATTTTTTAAAAAAAAAGAAAAGAGAAGTGGAAGGAATGCTAGATTTGGAGTCAGAAGGACCAGGTGAGAGGTCCAGCTCTACTACTGACCAGCTCTACAATCTACAGTAAGCTGAGCCTCAGTTTCCTTCCCTATAAAATGTGGGGATTAGGTTAGATACCTCTAAGGTCCTTTTTAGCTTAGACGTTCTATAATTCTATTGAGAGATTCAGAGTAAACTACTATTCTACAGCAGTTTGGGGTTTGGAAGAAATTTAGAAAAAGAAATTCTGAGAGCATCCTAGATTTAGAGCATCAGGTGACCTTAGAGGCCAGGAGGCCAGCAATTGCTTTACAGATGAAGAAACCAGTGCATGCAGAGGGTTAAGCAAAGTGGCCTAGGATCGCACAGCTAGTAAGAGTGTCTGAGACAGGATTTGAACTCAGGTCTTCCTAAATCCAAGGCCTGCAGCCTTACCCTCACTTAACCACCTCAAATCACAGTTAAATGGTTGATGACAGTCTCTTTGCATCACTTACCCCTAAGGGTTATAGAAATATTAATTACTCTTTTTATTATCCATCTAATCAATGATTTGAGTGATGCAACCAGATAGGGTTGCTCTGATATTTTTATTATCCATCTAATCAATGATTTGAGTGATGCAACCAGATAGGGTTGCTCTGATAGTCAGGTGAGTGAGCCCCAGAGTGGAGGAACTCATGGGAGACATCACAGTGCATGGGAAAGTACTTTAGCCCAAGAGTCAGGAGAGACCTGGCCCTGGTCTAATCAGATGTGTGACTGCGAGAATTTACCTGCAAGTATGTTCAAACAAGGAGTTGTGTGATTTTTAGACAAGTCACTTTACCTTGATGAACCTCAGTTTTCTCATCTATCAAGTGGGACCATTTAACGAGGTTATATCTAAGGTCTCTCCCAATTCTAAGGTCCAAGGTATCCAAAGTATGAGAAGGGTTTGAGGTCACTCTAGGCTGTCTCTTGGAGGCTGAGGGCACGTAGTGAGAACTAGGGCTCGAGGTGTGTATAAGGGTTCTTATGAGGTCTCCTAGGGCTGCTTGAGGGATCTAAAGTATCCTGGGCTTTGAACAACCTCTTTTAGTGATGCTTGTGATGCGGCACTCTTTGGGAAGAAAGAGCAGGCTATATTTTATGTAACCACCTTTACTTAGATGATTCACATTTTAGGCTTGTAACAAGAAAATTATTCAGGGGCAGACTGCCTCCTCTACTTCTCATGGTGATGGACTGCATGGAAGAATGTCCACAGATGAGAGGGTCCTGTTGTTTCCTCTCCATAATATTAATATGATTTATCCTTCATTGGTATCTTACAATTTACAAAACACTCTTCTCTCCAACAACCTTAGGTGTTGGGTGGCAGAGGTGTTATGATTCTCATATTACAAATGATGAAAGCCAGGGTCAAGGAAAGTGCAGTGACTTGTCTAAGGGAGGAGAGATGGTAGGTGGTGGATTGGGGACTGTAATTCCAGGTCTTCGATTCCAAACCAAGGGCTCTTCCCAATGTGCTCTATTGCTTCTCTATCTCTAAGCCACTTGAAAGATGCCTAATTGTCTTCTGAGGTAGTTTAAACCCAAAGACATCACATTAACCTTATGATCCCATTTTTGCCCAAGGAACTTGATGCTAAGCCTCTTTCTCTAGCTTCTTGAGATAAATACCTACACTACCTACTTTTGTACATCAGTCAGTAAGGTCAATACTATCTGTTGGACCATTGCTTAGAACATTTCTTACAGTGTCTCAAGGGTATAAACACAGTGAAGGGTGTTAAATAGAAGGATATAATATGAACTTTCCTTCTTTAAAAGCAGGATAGAGTCATAGGATTAAATTAGATGTGGAAGGGACATTAAAGACCATTGAGGCCACCTCCCTGGTTTTATTCAAGGCTCATCTCAAGAGCCATCTTCTACATGAAAAGTTTCCTAATCCCACCAGATCTTAGCGCCTTCCCTCCCATCCACAAATTATCTTGTATCTACTTTGTCTCTGGGCAGCTAGGGGGCTCAGTGGATGGAATGCTGGGCCTGGAGTCAGGAAGACTCATCTTCTTTTTTTAAAATTTTTTTTTTTAGGCAATTGGGGTTAAGTGACTTGCCCAGGGTCATACAGCTAATAAGTGTCAAGTGTTTGATCTGAGGCCGGATTTGAACTGAGGTCCTCCTGACTTCAGGACCAGTGCTCTATCCACTGAGCCACCTAGCTGCCCCAAGACTCATCTTCTTGAGTTCAAATCTGGCTTCAGATACGTATTAGCTGTGTGACCTTGGGAAAGTCACTTAAACCCTGTTTGCCTTAGTTTCCTCATCTGTAAAATGTGCTGAAGAAGGAAATGGCAAACCACTACAGTATTTTTGCCAAGAAAACCACAAATGGGGTCATGAAGAGTTGGACATTACTGAATACCAACCCCGCACCATCGACAATACCAGTTTGTCTCTATTTTGTATATGCCTATACATATATACATATATACATATTTATAAAGCAACACATTCATAAATATATACACATATATATACACACACACAAATGTGTTATTTCCCCTGTTTAGATTGTAAGCTCCTTGAGGGTAGGGATTTTTTTTGTCTTTATATCCCTAAGATAGGCTCTTAATAAATGACTGTTGTTATTGATTGACATATGTTCTTCCTTCCCTACTGAGGCATGATGATAATTGCTAACATTTATAAAGTGCTTAAAGGTTGATAAATTGCTTTACAACTATCACCTCATTTTATCCTCACAACAGTCCTGAGAGATTATTACCCTCATTTTTACAGATGAGGAAACTGAGGCGAGGTTAAGGGATTTATCCAGGGTCACACAGGTTATAAGCATCTGAGCCGGGATATGAACTCAGGATTTCCTGTTTCCAGGGCCAGAGCTCTATCCCCTGTGCCACTTAGCTACCAGTAGGGGCTTTAAGAGCAGTAAGATATATAAGGTTAAAATCAAGGAATAGATAAGAATAATTAACCATCTCCATCCATGTCATCATCACAGGCATCTCCTTTTCCATCCCCATCAGTGTCTTTCTGGTCGTTATTTATGATGTTTCTACAATTATCACAAGCATCTCCAAAGATATCTTGGTCGATGTTTCTCTGGTCAACGTTGTAAGTCAGGACACAGTTATCCTAAAAAACAAAACAAAAAAACCCAACAAAAAAACCCAAACCAAATGCAAATCCTCTTGGCCTTGTTATGTGTATCAGGGCTTTATGAATCTCACAGATGGTATTTTTACATTGCGCTCACTCTAATGCAAGAGTTGCAGTTCTATGTATGAATGCTCCAAAATACTGCCACAAAACTGCAATTTCCCTGCATTGGTACTGGGCACTTGCAAATGCACATTCCCTTGGAAGAAAACCCTCACCTGTTCATTGTTGATTCCATCCCCATCAGCATCTTCATCACAAGCATCTCCGATGCCATCTCCATCTGCATCTTCTTGACCAGAGTTTGGCACGTATTTGCAGTTATCCTAAGTGAGGAAACATGGCCTAAAATTACACCTAAGATCAAGGCTGTCAGTGGGTCTGCTACTTGGGACAAATCACGTCTGAGGCATTGAAAATTGAAGTTTGAATTCAAATTGAAATTTGCCTTTTATAGACAAATATAGCCAAAAAAAAAAAAAGAGGGAGGGCAGGAAAACTTGGACCTTAGGATCCAAGACCCCATTTCTGGAGAGACTGGAGGATATTCAGAGACCACTGCTGGGGAAGCCACCTCCAAGAGAGTAAGCAGGGTGGGGCATCATTGGGAAGGAGCTTGCTTTGGGTTGTGGAAGTGTCATACATACAACATATCTACGCTGATAAAAATCATGGTCCCAGTAAAAAAAAAAAGATTGCTATGTGCTAAATTTAGCAATTTCTGCTTGCTGTAGGAATTCACATGCTTTCAGCACCTTGAAGCAAACACCAGATGTACTACCCTCGTTAAGCTCTGTTTGACATCTGTCTGTAAGAGAAGATTGACCTACCTTGTTGTTAAAGGCACATTTGCTGCATTCGAGATGGAATTATCTGGGAGTGTGTAAGGGAAGGGAAGGTTCTCTGAGGCCCTTCCTAACCAGGATGTGGTTGTGGTTGTGGTTGTGGTTGTATGAAAGCCACAGGTATGTTTTCCTCCTACCCTACTTACCTTTTTGCAATTCCTTCCAGAGCATGGCAGTTCCTCGTCGGGGTAACTATCAATGTCAACGTCCTTTCCACAGATGAATCCATCACCAGCCCAACCAACACCACACTATGAAGAGAAATTCCATTACGGAAGTCAGGCAGTGATGCTTGCTGTCAGTTGGCAAACACTTGAACTCCTGCTTAACCCAACCCCAAAGCCCCAGGTATCCAAACAGCTTTACTGTGGGGGCTTCTCATCCCATTCCTGACTGCTCTTCTGACAGCATACCTGTGGAGCTTAAATCACAGTCACTCCTTAGAATGTAACAATCATCTAAATTGATTTTTGCCAGAGGAAAAACCTTCTGAGGACTGAGCACTGACTCAGTCTCTTGTTTTTAGTATCAAGCAAGCAAACCACAAGCATTTATTAAGCACCCACTATATACTCGATACTGGGCTAGGTGCTGAGGATATAAGTATCAAGAATGAAACAATTCTTACAAGAAACTTACATTCTACGGAGAAAGACAATAAGAATATATGTGTTTATAGATTATCTAGATAGCACAGTGGATAGAGTGCCAGGCCTGGAATCAGGAAGACTCCATCTTCCTGACTTCATATCTGGCTTCAGCACTTACCAACTCTGTGACCCTGGGCAAGTTACTTAATCTCAGTTTCTTCATCTGTAAAATGAGCTGGAGAAGGAAATGGTAAACCACTCCAGTATCTTTGCCAAGAAAAGCCCAAATGGGGTCATGAAGAGTTGGACATGACAGGAAAACAATTCAACACCACCACAAATATGTATACATATTCACATATACATGCATGGGTATGTAGAAATATAAATATATATATATATATGTATGTATGTGTATATATGTGTGTATATATATATACACATATATGTATATATATATATATATACACACACACACACACACAGAGAAAAAATAAAATCAATAAGTACAAGTATACAAGATATTCTGGGAGGGAGAGCAATAGCACTTGGGGTGAAGGCAGGGTCTGAAAAGGCTTCAACCAGAAGATGATGTTTTGAACTGTGTCTTGAGGAGACAGATTCTAAGAGGTAAGGAGGGAGAACTGGGGGAGGCCAATGCAAAGGCAAGAGACAGGGGGTGGAATATCTGTGTGAGGAACAGAGAGAAGGCCAGTTTGTCTGGATCAAAGAGTATCAGACAAGGGAGTAAAAAGGTCAAGGAGACTGGAAAGGTAGTTGCTCTGAATTCACTTCGTTCCTCAAACTTGTGATAGACTACAGTATCATAACGAGTTAGGAGCCAACGTCCTGCGTTAGCACAATAGGTCTATTCAGAGGCTTCCTCCCCTAGCCTCCTAACATTCTACCTAAGCACAACCAAAAAATGACAGCAAGGGAAGAGAGAGAAGACCATCAACTTTGGCAACCAAGCTCAGGAGAGTCCAAGAGGTTAAGCAAGGCTACAGGAAGAGGTCTCTGAAGGGCGGAAAGGGCAGTCAAGCAATGGAGAAGAATGAAGGTTTGAGATCCTGGGGAAGGGAGGAGGCAGAAGACAAGGAAAAGTGGGAAGAAAATAGTGAAGCTACGAGGAAAAAAAAGAATTGTAGAAAGATAGGGGTCAAAGGAGAGAGTTGGAGGTCAGAGGCAAAATAAAGAGCCCAATGAAATGGAAATAGAGTGAAAAGGAAACAACTGGAGTTTGGTGTTAATTTTTATGGTTCTTATTCAAATCCAGAGAAGTCAATTTGAGACCATAGACTCTACTTGCCAGGGACTGTTCCTTTTCAGTCCCTAGAGATGGCTGTTTGAAACTAGAGGACTTTGAGATATTCTATTCTAAGAGTGACACTCTTCCCCCTTTCCCCTGATCTGTGCTCAGCTCCAGCCTGGAGCGTTCCCCATAGAGGGCACTGAACTCTCAACGGTGCCTCATGGTGGCTGATTTACTTTAATGAAGAAAGAGCCCTCTAGGAACAAATACATTTTTAATGATCCATTTTTTGGCAGATTAAATTATTTTAGTAGTCACATGAAGCTTATTAATCCTTTACCATCTGCTGCTGCCTCTCATTACAAATTCAAAAACACATTAAAAGTCCCACCACCCACCATCCCAGTGCATCCTCAAGTAGGGCACAGGAAAATGATTTAGCTACAGAGGCAGGCTGCTACCCCGCGGTTCTTCTTTAGAGAGAAAGCAGCACAGTGAATTAGGGACATTTTTTCCCCCCTAATGCACTGACTCCCCCAGTGACCTGGTCTTTTCACAAGACCTCTGGATTAGTTACTTTAAAGGTTTCCACACTAAGTGCCTTTGCTAGCCTCCTGGTGAAAATAAATCCCCACATCTCTTGGGAAGGATATGTGGGGGAGGCAGGTGATGCTTGAAGGTGAGCCATTTAAGAGGTCTGCTGATTTGGCTCTTACAGACCTGAAAGTCCTTGAAAGCATGGGATTTGGAGAGCAAGAAGGAGCCTGCCTCCATGTCACTCCCTGGGTTATTTTCAGTCTTTTCCCTTCTGCTGGGTAGGCTTGTCAGTTTGGAATACTGTCATTCCAGGAGACTTCAGCTACAAGTCATGTAGGAGGAGGATGGGAGGGGGCGGCATGGGGGAAAGGGAATATTTCTAAGGCATGAGACGATGGAAATTGCACTCAATTTGTAGTCGGGGACCTGGGTTCGAATCCTGACTATACCACTTACAATTTGATTGTGACTTTGGAAGAGTAATCACTTCACCTCTCATGAAGCTCAGTTTCTCAACTGTAAAGTAAGAGGATTAGACGAGATGACCTCTAAGGATCCCTTCTGGCTCTAAATCTGTGATCCTGGCTGGCTCTGGCATAAGGAGTCTGGTTTTTACCCAAGATGCTGGAGATAGGTGCATTTCTAAGGGTCAGCCATAAGGTGGTGCTGCGATTCCGCAAATACCCGCTAGTCTAGCAAGCACCAGGTCTTTGATGTTGCCCACACAGTATCCCTACTTAGCAGTTTGGGATGATTACCAGGTATTCAAAAAAAATTCATAGAGGAACAAAAAGACTTCTCCCTTGATATTGGGAATCACTCAGAGAATCCCAGAAGACTCTCAGTGAATGTGTCTGTTGAGGAGGGGAGGGAGAGGGGATAGCCTTTACCTTTCGGAGTCAGCCTAGATAAGGAGCTGAAATTGAAGAGGGAGGGAACAAGTGTTTGCTGAACATCTACTATGTTCCTAGCACCGTCCTAAGCAATTTACAAACATTATCTCATTTGATCTTCACAACACCTGAGGAGATAAGTTATCCTCATTTTGCAGTTGAGGAAACTGAGGCAGACATTGGTTAAGTGACTTGCCCAGGGACACGCAGCTACTATCTGAGGCAGAATTTGAACTCAGATCTTCCAGACTCCAGGTAAATCAGACTCCTGACAGACTTTACGTATTGGCATACCTCTTCTGAGAAAGAGCCAATAAAGAAAAAAAAGATTGACTTGCCCCTCAGGTGAATCAGGCCACCTTCCCAGACCACCCAAGGTCTCCTCAAGCTCCCCCTGCTCCAGTAACCAATCAGTTGCTAAGTCTTCGTTGATTCTACAAATAGAACATCTCTGGCTTCCTTCTCCAAACCTCCACTCATCTTGGCTTTAGCTCGGGCCCTCAGCACCTCTCCCCTGGATGCTTGCAACAACCTGCTAGGCAGCCTCCCTCCCTACCCCTAGGCTCACGCCTGCCATCCATCCTCCACAGAGATGCCTAACGAATATTCCCGAAGCACAGTTCTGACCATGTCACTCACCCGCTCGAGAAACCCCTGTAGTTTCTCTATTGCCTCTGTGAAAAAATACAAACTCCGCTGTTTGGTCTTTGAAGCCCCTCGCAATCTAGCTCCAACGCGTCATTTTAGGTGATTCTATCTCCCATTTCCTAGCCCTTCTCTATGCTCTGTTTCCTGTGCCTGGGAAGCCGTCCCTCCTCCCCTCTGTCTCTTAGAATGAAGGCTCTGCTTAAATCCTTCCTGCTGGGGGACCTTCCCTGAGCCGCTGCCCTAACCCCCAACCCCGACCCCGACCCCAGCTGCTGATGCCTCTCTCCCAGAATTACCTTGCATTTACATTATATATTCTTATATGCTTCTCCCATTAGAATGTAAGCTCTTTGAGGGCAGGAGTTGTTACATTGTTGTTACATTGCTGACTTGGTATCCCTAGTGCCCAGCACATGAAAGGGGCTTAAACATGCACGTTGATCAGCTGGTTACATGCTTGATTGTCTAATAGCAGAATCCTAGGCAGATCCCCTCCCATCTAAAAGGAGCAGAAGGTCTGAAGTCTGAGGACAGCTGAGGAACATTTTTATTTTTACTGATTTATTCACTCATTTCCATAATTTATTATCTCAGCTGCTATTTCTGTCACCCAGCCTTCTCAAACGGGTCGTTTCTTAAAGACTTGGTTTTAAGAGCTATCATTTATTTTTCATAGCAATGGTAGTTTCATGTTTTGCACACTTTGATTAATGTTTTCTTCTTGAGTACTTGCACTTAGAGGGAGCTGGGTAAAGGAACAATCTCAGAAGTTGCAAAGCAAAGTGATAACTCACCACACAGGTCACACCTCCCTGCCTCTCCTCAATACACTGGGCATTCACACTGCACGGATTCCGTTCTGGGTTCCTGCAGTTTCGTTCGGTTTTGCATCCCCTGATCTGATCTCCAGTGAACCCAGACTTACATGGGCCACACTGATAAGAGCCCTGTAAAGAAACCAACAGAATGATCAATCAGTAAGCATTTATTAGGCACCTACTATATCCCAAGTATTGTGCCAGGTGCCTGGGATATGTAAAAAATAAATGAAACAGTCCCTGCCCTCAGGTAGTTTACATGCTACAAAGGAATTTCTATCTCCCTGGATCCACTGTTTGTTTTTCAGGGAAGCAAAAGGGGGTAAGTGACCTGTCCAGGGTGACACAGCCAGTAAGTATCCCAGGCCAGATTTAAACTCAGAGCCTTCTGAGGCTAGAGCTGGCGATCAATCTGCCGCACCACCTAGCTGCCCTGGATTCTGACTATCTAAGATGAAATAATGCCTTGGACAAGGGGTGTATTATCACCATTACTGGTATTGTTTTGTGTGTTTTATTATAATGATGACTATCATCTCTAGTATCATTTCTATAAATTGAAAAGTTGTTTTAACTATATTCTCATTTGGTTTTCATAATAGGAGGACTGAGTCAATTGCGTTTCTATTGAGATGAAGCTCCATCCTTGCTGTTTTGTGCAGGCTCCTCGGACCAGCAGTCTGCTTCCTGAGACAATGCCTGTGAAGATACCATCCAACTGTAAGGTACCATAGGCCAGGAGGACGGGAGAGAGAGGCACGATAGCGAACTGTCTGAAGCTGCTTGAATGTTTTTTTTCTCCATCTACTTTCCTTTCTATCCCATAGTAGGTAGGGCATAAGGAGAAGAAACAATTATGTGGTCTCTGTGGAAAGAACACTGGGTGGAGAATTAGGTGCTCAAATATCAACTGCTATTTATCTCCTGTGGCACTTCGGACAAGTCACCTTACTCTCCTGCTCTCGGTTTCCTCAGTTGAGAAATAGCTGGACTGAACTGTTAGAAGGGGCTGAGCTTTCCAGTGGAATTAGACGGCTTCCCTCTAGGGGCACTACAGTAAAAATGTAGGCATTCCTTTGTCTACTAGACATCGGTCCAGGCATTGAGAAAAACATCTGCAGCTCTGAGGAGAGATTCTCTGTGAGTTGGGCTGTGGTTTTACTTAAAATAAAAGAAGGGCTGAATGTGATAATGCACCTTAAGATTCACCAAAGGCTTTCTACAGTCCTCTAAAATGATCTTCACAATAGCCCCATGAGATGAGAATTATCCCCATCATACAATACGGATGAGGCTCAGAGTGACTTACTCACGGTCACATGCAAGGCCTGAGGCAGGATTCAAACTCAGGTCTCTGGGGACTCCAAGTCCAGTGGTCTTTCCACTATACCATGCTACCTCCTGCCTTTCTGACAGTGCAGTAAACATGTGATAAGGGCAGGCTGGGAAAGAAAACTGTTAGAAAACAGTCGCTTTATTTCATCTCCTTATAAACAACATGTCAGGATGGAGGTAGGTCCCATGGGCCATGATGCTCCCATTAACTCTCCATTTTTGCCAACTGTTTCCCATTTATTTTTATTGCTTTTCCAAGAACCGTGTTTCCTTAGGCTGACTTCACATGCAAAGAAGCTGGGGAAGTGAGTGTTTGAATAGTTCGCCTGGGGACCACATGGCAGTTAGACAATGGCCCCTCCATCCCTAGCCGGCTGTCTGGCTTGCTGACCTCACTCGCTTAGAAACAGCTGATAGGAATTTTCAGAAATGTGCTGGTAAGGACTGAAATGATTAAATCATAGCAGCTAAATGCATTTCAGAAAGTACCCTGGCATGCCAAGCCATTCTCCGTAGCATGCAGGGATTCTGAAGCACATCCCAGAGGAGTTAGACGTGCAGCTGTGAAGACACATTGGGTCCCTTCAAAAGCACTGCGCTCTAAGCACTCTGGACCTGCGATAGCAACAGGAAATGCCTTTTAAATATGACCATCTTTAAAGAATAAGTATCTTAAAGATAATTCCTTCACATGCTTGTATTCAAAAGCACATTGATAAAACTCGACGGGACGTGAGAGGACGTGGGTGGCTTGTCAATTCCCTGTATAAACTTCTGTTTTCATTTGTGGGTCACATATATGATTACATCCATGTGTTATAGCTGGGTTTTGTGGTTACAGCCTATACACACACAATCAGCTTGGCAAATTATTGTGCTTTTAAAAAATTTATGGAATAAAGCAAACATTTCCATAACATAGTATAATAAAAAAGAAGATTGCCCATGAAACTGCAAATCTATTATGTACAACTTGCTATTCCTTTTAAATATATAATAAAGTTATCACATAAATTCCTTTTTTTTCCTTCCCTCCCCCAACAAAACTATTGTGCTTTAGAAACGGTTGCAGAAAATACTTACCACAGTGTTAATACAAATAGAATTGGGGACACAGGCTCCATTTCTACACTCATCAATATCAGAGCAGATCTAGTGCAGAAACATAAAAGAGGGCTCTTAATTGCAAAAGAAAACACACAAACCACTCTTAGTTGTCTCGATAGCTTTGTGTGATGTGAAGCATTCCAGAATTACGGATGGGAAGGCCATCTGGGCCACCCCCACCTTTCAGCAGGACTAGCCTCAAATCTCCAGTGGACAGCTGTCCATGGTTTAAAATATCCAGAGAAGACTCCCTAATGTCCCTTGGTAATTCAGTCCCCTGTTCTGCAACCTTTATAAGCAGGAAGTTTTTTCTGATGGCTAGACTCAGATACATCCTACAGCAATTTAAGCCCATTTTATTTTGTTTTGTCTTCAATGGAGGCAAAGATAAGTTTCTCCCCAGCACTCATGCATCCATCTGATGACTGTAATTCAGCCTTATTACCTTCTGTCTCTCTCTCCCAATACTCCCTTCTCTTCTCTGGTCTAACAAACAGCCCCCGCTGGAAATGAGGAATGGGATAACTCAGAAATAATGATGTCTCCTGCTCCGCTTCATACCTAATGATTTCCCCAAGGTAGTAAAAACCCATCCAAAGAAGATCAACCATCTCAAAAATGCTGAAAACATCCCTCCCAAAGTTTCAGAGTCAGTCAGTTTAATAATGACCTGGATATTCTAGTATATTTGGAAACAAGTGGAGAATGTCATAGAATGCTCTAGGATTTTACTGCAGTTTGTGGCTTGTAAATGCTATTGAAGAGGATGGGGCTATTCTTTTACTTTTTTACATCCTCCCTAGCTGTAGTAAACAGAACATAAATACACGTTTATCTTCCCTTTTAAAGTTCTTCTGTTGCTTACATTCTTTTACCCTTTGATGCCCAAGGGATGGATCTGAATATCAAGATGTTCTACTGGTGTAAACCCAGTGAGCCTCAAGTCATTTCTCAAACTCAGCACCACCAGGTTGCTGTCACTGAACAGCTGCTCCCTCCCTCCCTTCCTCCTAGAAATCCATGAATCAGAGAGGAGTGAAAAAACAATACAGATGTGGCCTGGTGTGCATCATTTATCTTCAACATGTGATAATCACCCAGGCAGGCCAAATGACTAGTTTTTGAAAGAGACATGAAAGATCAGGATTCATTCCAAGTTTTACTAAGTGAGGAGGAGAGGAATACAAAAGAAAAGAAGGCCATCTTTGGAGTCATAGCTCACCTGCTTATGTGTCTTGGCAAAGGTGACCCCCACTCCCTGCACCACTGGTCCTGTGAAGCCAACTGGGCAGGAATCACATCTGAAACCTGGAGTCAGATTCACGCAGCGTACTCCTCGGAAGCATGGGTGGAAGGTGCACTAGTAAGAAAGAAAAGATACAAAACATTTAGTCAAATGGGGTACTCTCATTGAAAGCTGGAACTCTTTCTGAATGAACAGCCACATCCTAGTTATCCTTATCTCTACTCCAACACCTAGGTACCATGCCTTGCATGGAGTAATAAATGCTTGTCAAAGGAAGGAAGGAAGGAAGGAAGCAAGGGAAAGAAGAAAGGAAGGAAGGAAGGAAGGAAGGAAGGAAGGAAGGGAAAGAAGGAAGGAAGGAAGGAAGGAAGGGAAAGAAGGAAGGAAGGAAGGAAGGAAAGAAGGAAGGAAAGAAGGAAAGGAGGAAGGAAGGAAGGTTTGCTGGGAAAGGATAGCAAGAAATTAATCAATTCAAGATTCATTCAGCAAACCTTCATTAAACTCCGTTAGACTATCATTGAAGACCATAAGATCTTCTGCCAGGTGCTGGGGGAGAAACAAAGATTAAAGATATCGTTCCCACCCTCAAGGAGCTGCCAATCTAGTCAGAGAGAAAAGGAAATAACTGTAAAAAGAAACGGGTGCCAAAGAGAAATGTGAACAAGGTTCTATGAAAGTCTGTAGGACAGAGGAATCACCTCAGTTGGGAGAGGGATCAGGAAAGGCATTCCTGAAAGGATGATTTTGCACTGGCCCTTGAAAGATGGGAGGGTATTAGGTTGGTGGGGAGGTGTCCTAGACTTAGGGGTGTACTTAACACCTCAGCTCTGTGGTATCCCATTCCTTCACGCAAGGTGTGAAGGTGGTGTTATGATAATTATGATAACAGTAACAACTTCCATTTATGCAATGCCTTAAGGTTGAGAAAGCAACAAAAAAAAGCTTGTTGACAACTCTACGGGGGGGGTGTGGACAAGAAATAGTTTCAAAATAAATGTCCTTGAGCTGAGGAATTTGTACTGTCTGGGATGGTCAAGGTGACTGGGAACAAGCCAAATGCTTGTTCTCAACCTCACCACAAGGTGAGAAAACTAGCCAACTCCTCTGACTTAAGAAGCACAAAGATGAAAATACATCCTGGAGACAGAATGGAGACAAAAACTCCCAAAGTCAGACCTGGTCCCTCCATCTGGTTAAAGTGTCTTGAGTTACATAGTAAGTCAGTGGGCACATGGGACAGAGTGTGTAGAAGGGTATTTCTGCTACTTTTTATTACTGGTTCAATTAATGTAAAAAACCTAAGCACTTCTTGCCTTTTCAAAAGAGTAAAATTCCAGCTCAAAGATTAAAGGAAAAAAAATTCACTTTTGATAGTTCTATAAAATTATGTGTAGATGTTTATTAAAATGAAGGATTATTAGATATTATCTTAAGATCTTAATTTTTGGAGGTGGGGAGCGATGGGAGAGGTGAAATTTTTTTTTATCTCAAACTTTATATTACTCAGCCCAGGGAAACATTTGTTATATTTTCAGTTGGAGTGAGATTGGCCATCCTTAAGCCTTATCTGCCCTCATGGTCTCTCTGCAACCTTCTAATAATAATAATAATAATAATAATAATAATAATAATAATAACTAGCACTTTAAGATTTACAAAGTGCTTTACATATATTTTCCTATTTGATCTTTATAACAACTCTGGGAAGTAGGTACTATAATTATCCCCATTTTGTTGATGAGGAAACTAAGGTAGACAGAGGTTAAGTGACTTGGCCAGGGTCACCTAGCTAGTAAGTGTCTGAGGCAGGATTTGAACTCTATCTGGCAGGCTAATACTGACTTTCAAGTCCCAAACTGTGCCATGCCCAGATACTTGTAGAGGACCAGACACTTTCAGTAGAAGATGCTGAAAGTCAGGAAAAGTGACAACCTGTGCCAAGTACTCCTGCAATATTCTCCTTCTGAGGGTTTGTCTAGGCCATAGCTGTCACTCATAAAACTATCCCACCCTTGTGTTGGTTGTTTTTGTCTTTCTTTTTTTTTTGCTCTTTTTGTGAGGTAATTGAGGTGAAGTGACTTGCTGGGGTCATACAGCTAGTAAGTATCATGTGTCTGAGGCCAGATTTGAACTCAGGTCCTCTTGACTCCAAGGCCAGAGCTCTATCCACTGTGCCACCTAGCTGCCTCCTGTGTTGGGTGTTTTTGAGGGCTATACAATCTAGTTGTTCCCTGCGGGACCCATAGCCTGGCTAGGGTCTGGGCTCACTGCCTCCACGTTGTGAGTTGTGGAGGTGTGTGGTATTGCCTCCTCTCCCAACAGGGACTGTGAAGATAACACCTGGAGTCTCTTGAAAGGATCCTTATAATAGTATCCCCTGTTCCTCCTCCCTCCTTCATATAAATGGGAGTGGGGAGTGAGGGGAATTGAATAGGACTGTGAAAAAAAGGAGAAATGACTGCTAAATGAGAAAGCAAATATAGAATGTATTAGTACCTGTGATGGAAAGCAGGGATGCCAAGCCTGCATGAACACCTCCATAGTCTCTCTCTCTCTCTCTCTCTCTCTCTCTCTCTATATATATATATATATATATCTATCTATATATATATATATATATATATACACACACACACACACACACACGTATACATGTACATATGCATATATACATATGTAATATATATACACATGTGTTATATTTCTATATTGACTCCAAGGCTGGCTCTCTCTATCCACGAACAACGCTGCGCCTTTCTTATTCATACAAAATAATACAAAATTTCCCACTGCTTTTAATCTTCCCTTTATTCTACCACCCAGTACCCCTAATAGTTTGTAGAGCTCCCTCCATCTCTGGGGATGGAAGTGGCTTTCATGCAGCCTCATGAAGGGCCTTATTAACCTCTTCCTCTGTCAATATACCTTCTTTTACCATAAACTTGTCATTATCAGGGACTGTTTTTTGGTTTTCTTTGTATCTCCAGCACTTAGCATAGTACCTGGGCAAATAGTAGGCATTTAATAAATGTTTGTTGACTTGAATTTATAAGGATGTGTGGGAGAGATAATGAGACAACAGTAAAGGGATTGCTTTTCCATTCTTTATCAGTCTATTCTTTACCTCATCAATATCAGAGCAGGTAATCCCGTTTCCTGTATATCCCTCTGGACAGGGACCACACTGAAATCCATCTCTGGTGTTGGTACACCTGACTCCTCGGAAACAGGGGTTCGAGTCACACCTGCGAACCAGGGCTGCTGGAGTTGGAAGGGTGTTTGGAGTTGGAGCCTGGGCACTGAGGGGGCCTGAAAAAAAAAGTTAAAAAACATCCAGAGCCGTTCCCTGACCCAGCCAACCTGCATTCCAGTGATGGCTGTCAATCTAGGAAAACTGCAGCCTCCAAAGAATTCACGTTGTGGCTGACCCAAGGGGCAATGAAGAGGTACCTAAGAGGCACAAGTAATTTGCAACATACTTCCAGTGATGACTTTGGCACAAGAAGTGAGATGGGATTTGGGACTGGTCCTCTGATTTCATTGGTGTAGCCTAGGCATTGGAGTCAAACTCAGGTAGGGGGCC